CTTCCGCGTGCTCTATATGAGCTATTGCGGTACTAGTACATGCGTTCACTTTGATATGGAGTGACGCGAGAGTGGAGAACCTTCGGAAATGTTTATAATAACCTTTCGGTTATTCCAACACTCCCCTTCATTTCTAAAGGTGGGCCACGTGGGACTTCTTGGTGATCCCGCAAAGGTTGGCGCAGTGCTGGAACTGTTGACGTGGCAATTTCTTTGTCATGAAGTCGGCTGCCATGTCACCAGTCGGGCAGTACGTGAGTTTGACCTTGCCCTTGTCGATTCCGTCCTTGACGAAGAAGTAGCGAAGGGCGATGTGTATCGTGCGGTTCACGAAGCTGAGTTTGCTCGCGATCTTGATCGCGCTCTAGTTGTCGCAAAGTAACGTGAAGTGCCCGCTCATCGTTACTTTTGCTTCTTGCAGGAGCTCCATCAGGTATAATCCTTCGCGAACAGCTGCGCTGGCGGCGATGAACTTTGCTTCTGCTGACGAAAGGGCGATGAGTTCCTGCTTCTGAGAGTTCCATGAGATGAGTCCAGCAGGTTGAAGTTGAAAAATGAATCCTGTGTGGGAGCGTCTGTTGTCAACATCTCCCGCATGGTCACCGTCTACGTAGCCGTGCAGTTGCAGAGTAGCCGTTAAGTTAGCTTCGTAGGTGAGGCCGACGTCGGGAGTAGAAATGAAGTATTGAAGTGCGCGGCGTAGATCCTGTAGATTCTCCCCTTTAGGTTGCTTCATGTACTGAGCGAGCTGGCTTGTGACGTAATAGAGATCGGGCCGGCACGTGACGGCGGCGAACAGGAGGCATCCCAGCTGCTGCTGATAGAGCCGATGATCCTCGAGAGAGAGGGGCGTGGTATCTGGTTCGTGTGTAGGAGGAGAGCGAAATGGGGTAGAAAGGTTGATAGGCACGATGTCGAATTTCTTCGCGAGTGTTTCGGCTTATTTGGCGACGGAGAGATGAATGGAGGAGGCAGACTGAGTGATGTTGAGACCCAGGAATTGAGTGAGGTCTTGGTTGACCGTGACCTCTAGCTGCTTCTTGATATCTGCTTCGAACTGGTCCAGCAGCTCCGTGTCGTCGCCGGTGTAGAGAAGGTCGTCGACGTAGGCGACGAGAAGGATGAATTTGCCGCGCAACTCCTCCCTATACATGCCGAGGTCGTGTGGCAGCTGTTGGAAGCCGAGCTTCATGAGTACGGTGTGCAGGTACTGCTGCCAGAGGCGAGGTGCTTGCTTGATCCCGTAGAGGGATTTATGGAGCAGGCAGACTGCGCCGTCGTTCTCTTCGAAGGCGTGCGGCTGCTCGACGAAGATGATTGCGTCGACCGGAGCATACAAGAATGCACTGCCGACGTCGATTTGACGGAGTGGGCGCTGCTTGACAGCTGCAATGCAGATGAGGATCCGCACTGAGGTGTGCCATCCCACGGGTGCGTAGGTAAGGTCGAAATCCACCATGTGAGTTTGCTCGAAGCCGCGCACCACCCATCGCGCTTTTTATTTGTCGATGGAGCCATCCGCTAGTGTCTTGATGCAGAACACCCATTTTCCGCTCAGAATTTATCCGCCCTTCGCAGATGTCTGGGGAACGAGCTTCCAGGTGCCACGGTTCTTGAGCGACGCGATCTCCTTGGCCATGGCTGCCTTCCATTTCTCACTGTCGGGTCCAGAGAGGGCCTGGCAAACGGTGTTGGGTTCCTTGGGGGAGGTGTGGCCAACAGCGACGACGAGCCCAAGGATGCGGAGACCGGTTTCGTTGGTCTTTTCGTAGTGCAAGCGATCGTAGTCGTGGAAACTGGTTACTTTGACCACGTCGTCATCACTTTCGTTACCAGGGCGGATGGAGTCTTGCGAGGTGTTTGGCGGTGGTAACGCGGCAGCTGGTGACTGGCGGGCGTCGCTGTTGAAGTTGTGGGCTTCGCGAGTTGTATCTTCGGGATCAGGTTGGTGTAGAGGGATGAAGGTTGGAGTCTGGAACGGGCTTGTAAGGGAGATGTTGGGTGCGCTGTCAAACTGGGTAACATTGGCTGCATCCACATCTTCCGCCAGGTTAGCTTCATTATGTGGAGTCACGAAGTTGCGGTGTTCCTCGAAAACCCTTTTCGGTGCTCTGTCAGCTTCGCGGTGTTCGTTGAACAGTGGCAGAGTCAGCTTCTCGTAGAAGATGCAGTCACGTGATTTTGTCACTTTATGTGTCGCGTAGTCCAGCACAATCCACGCCTTGTATTCCTTTTCGATCCCGAGGTGGATGCCCCAGCGAGCCCAGTCAGCAAATTTTCCGGTCCTTGCTGTATGTGGCCTGTACTATACCATGCAGCCAAACACCCGAAGCAGGCGCGTGTCTGCTTTTCTGCCTGTCCACGCCCTGAAGGGGGAGTTGTTGTTCTCGAGGCTTGAGGATGACAGCAAGTTGTGCAGCCGGACTGCATGGTTCATGGCAAACGGCCAGTAACGAGTTGGGATGGCTGACTGCTTCATCAGAGCCCTCATCCTGGTGGCAAGGCTCCTGTTTGTCCGTTCTGCAACTCCTTGCTGCCCGTGGGCATAGGGCAGGGACACCAGATGCTCAATCCCTTTCTTCTCGAAGAGCTCCTTGAACTTGGTTGAACGACAATCAAGACTCTAAGGCTCTGTCTGTCTGCTAGCCTTTTGATTTAAGTCTTGATTGTTGTTCAGCCCATTTCATCCACGCGATGAAGCATTCGAAGGCGAGTGATCTGCAGTCGGTATTGACGGCCCAAACATGGCGAGTGCTTGCGTCGATGAAGGTCAGCGTGTAGTAGTCGCCATCGAGCCCTTCCTGCGTCAGGCACATGAAGTCGCTGTAGACCTTCTCGAGCGGTTTGTAACGTTCGTAGCCGGGCGGTAAGTCGGGGAAGGGCTTGTGGGCGAGCGATGCAGCAGGACACACTGTGGAGGGCGGGTCGTCAGAGTCAGTGGTGAGGGAGCCTCCACGGGAAAGGAGTAGTGCTCCGTCGTCGAGGACGCCAGCCCGAAGAGAGTTCTTGAGTGTTATGTGAGAGGGGTGCCCGAGCCGTTGATGCCAGATTTCTGGTTCCGCACGGTAGCCAATTGTTTTCTGATAATATTTGTGTCTTGCTGCTTTGTCGTTCGCCTCCTCTTCATGTCCTGTGTTGGCGGCGTCGTCGGTGTCGGCGGCAAACGCGTGAATTCACTTTCGTTCCAGAAGCGCGTGAGGAATACTGATGATGTCGTTGGTGTCACCGGCGTCGACTTGGTCTCCGATAACAAGCAGGCACTGGTTGGGCCAGTCGCGAACTGGGAGTCCATTCATGGGAATTCGGAAGTAGCTGTACTAGGCCTCGATGACTTCAATCTCCTGTGGACCTTGTTCTGGCGGCTTCGGCTCCTCGGTAGGTTCTGGTAGTTCTACTACTTCTCCGGAGAGCTCGTTGGTTACCTCTTCTTCTGGCTCTTCTTCCATTGGTTCTGGTGTGTCAGGGGCGTACTGGTCCGGAAGAGGGGGTCCGCCCTAGCTGGTGCCGCGCGTTACCCAGTAAGGATCGATTGCCGCGGTTTTTGCTGAGGGGAGCCCCGGAGCTTCGGGATAGGCAGGAGCAGCTTGCCCTTGTCCTACTTCGCTTGTTGAGATTCCCCATCCGCCTCCGGTTCCCCACTCGCCTCCGGTGTTGGCGCCAGCATCTGTTGGAGCAGTGGCGTAGCCTCCGGATGGCGAGATAGTGTCGCTGCCTCTTCTGGCGTCAGAACTTCTCCCAGGGGGCCAAGTGCATGGCCGGGACTGCTTGATCGAGTTCCTGTTTTCTCGCTTTCTTCAGTGACTGGCTCCGCAGGTGCTGACATGCCGCTGTCTTCTTCCATTGTTGCAGGTCCAGTTTCAGTTGGGTTGGAGGTTGAGGCAGTCGGAACGGTACGAAGTCGCAGAAGGCCATCCAAGGCGGGATGCTCAAGGTCCGTTTTGGTGGGATGTGTCCAAGTTGGTGTCTCTGAGGGAGTTGTCTTCAGGAGCAAGGTGCGGTGAGAATCGTCGGTGGTGCCTTGCGCTGAGAAATGCAGCACAAAGACACCGTCGTCATCAACCACCTTGCTGATGTAAGTGTTGTTATAGAAGAATTCAAAGGTCTTGTCTTTGCGATTGCTTCAAATGTCAACTCTGCATCGCATGAGCTGTGCCGAGAAAAGAAGGTTGTACCGCAGATCTGGAGCGAGAAGCACGTCACCAATGTGAATCGTGAATCTTGTGTCATCACCTTGAAGGAATATTTCACCGATGTCGTATGCTTTGAGCGTGCCATTGTTTGCTACCGTGATCTCACAGGGTCGGCGCATGCGTTTGGAGTTGCTGATGAATGTGTGAAAATATTAGGTGTGGGGCCTAGGCTTAGTAGCCTAGGCCCACACTAGGAGATAGGTAAGTTCGAGTGGGTTAGGTGAGAGTCGAGAAATTGGAAGGGAAGTGAAGTGACTAGCAAGAGTTGGGATACAAGTACATTGCCCTAAATTGGGTTGTACTCATTACAGAGTACCCCACTGCAGGCTAGACAGCAAATATATTCTGACACACCCCCATAGCCAAAGTGGGGTGAAATCAGCAGAGCAGGCAAAGCAGTACAAGCTCAGGGTGGATCACAATGTCACCACACATTCTGAGCACAAGTTCAAGAAGCAATAGTTAAAGTGCACAATTATCAGCAAAGCTAGTGGTGGTCACAACGGGCAGGTGAGGAGGAGGAGGGAGAGTGAGAGGAGAGGAGATGGGAGGCGACTGCTGAAGCTGCAGACACACGGGCAACAGGAGCGGCTCGCACAGTGGCTACCGGGACAGCGCCCCGGACTACTGGAGTAACTGGCTCGGCGGCTACAAAGAGCGGCAGGAGCAACGGACCCACGGGCGACAGGCGCAGCAGGCTCACTGGGCTACCAGGACAGCGCCCCGGACTACAGGTGCTGCGGACTACAAGACGGCAGCCTCCGCTCAACCTCCCACAAACAGTCCCACCCCCCTGACACACACCCGCTGCTACACCCCTAGCTCCACTCCCACGCACCCCCCTTAAACCCTAAACCCCAGTCTCCCACACAACCACCCCCCTCAGCGACAGCTGCAGCAGTGGGAGACGACGGAGGAGGAGAAGGAAGGGGCGACACAAACGGAGCACCCCCACACCCGCAAACGGGGGGGGGGGGGGGGGGGGGGGGGGACAGTGCGCACGAGGGCGCAGACAGTAGCAGAGCGCACGGGGGCGCGAGCACGAGACACGGGCAGCAACAGGCACGGGCAGCACAGGCACGGGCAGCACAGGCACGGGCAGCACAGGCACGAGCAGCAACAGGCACAGGCAGCACAGGCACGGGTAGCACAGGCACGGGCAGCACAGGCACGGGCAGCACAGGCACGGGCAGCAACAGGCACGGGCAGCACGGGCACGGGCAGCACAGGCACGGGCAGCACAGGCACGGGCAGCACAGGCACGGGCAGCAACAGGCACGGGCAGCACAGGCACGGGCAGCAACAGGCACGGGCAGCACAGGCACGGGCAGCACAGGCACGGGCAGCAACAGGCACAGGCAGCACAGGCACGGGCAGCACTGGCACGGGCAGCACAGACACGGGCAGCACAGGCACGGGCAGCAACAGGCACGGGCAGCACAGGCACGGGCAGCACAGGCACGGGCAGCACAGGCACGGGCAGCAACAGGCACGGGCAGCACAGGCACGGGCAGCACAGGCACGGGCAGCACAGGCACGAGCAGCACAGGCACGGGCAGCAACAGGCACAGGCAGCACAGGCACGGGCAGCACAGGCACGGACAGCACAGGCACGGGCAGCAACAGGCACGGGCAGCACAGGCACGGGCAGCACGGGCACGGGCAGCACAGGCACGGGCAGCACAGGCACGGGCAGCACAGGCACGGGCAGCAACAGGCACGGGCAGCACAGGCACGGGCAGCAACAGGCACGGGCAGCACAGGCACGGGCAGCACAGGCACGGGCAGCAACCGGCACAGGCAGCACAGGCACGGGCAGCACAGGCACGGGCAGCACAGACACGGGCAGCACAGGCACGGGCAGCACAGGCACGGGCAGCAACAGGCACGGGCAGCACAGGCACGGGCAGCACAGGCACGGGCAGCAACAGGCACGGGCAGCACAGGCACGGGCAGCAACAGGCACGGGCAGCACAGGCACGGGCAGCACAGGCACGGGCAGCAACCGGCACAGGCAGCACAGGCACGGGCAGCACAGGCACGGGCAGCACAGACACGGGCAGCACAGGCACGGGCAGCACAGGCACGGGCAGCAACAGGCACGGGCAGCACAGGCACGGGCAGCACAGGCACGGGCAGCACAGGCACGGGCAGCACAGGCACGGGCAGCAACAGGCACGGGCAGCACAGGCACGGGCAGCACAGGCACGCGCAGCACAGGCACGGGCAGCAACAGGCACGGGCAGCACAGGCACGGGCAGCACAGGCACGGGCAGCACAGGCACGGGCAGCAACAGGCGCGGGCAGCAACAGGCACAGGCAGCACAGGCACGGGCAGCACAGGCACGGGCAGCACAGGCACGGGCAGCACAGGCACGGGCAGCACAAGGCGTACCGGGTCCAGGGGCGGCTTCTGGGGTCCAGGGGCGGCACCTGCAGCTGGGCGGCGGTAGCTGCTGCGGCAGAGCGGCGGCGGCTGCTGCTGCTGATAGAGCGGCGGCTGCTGCTGCTGGGTCGGTGGCGGCAGCTGCTGCAGGTCTGGCGGCGGCTGCTGCTGCAGACTCTGGCGGCGGCTGCTGCTGTAGACTCTGGCGGCGGCTGCTGCTGCAGGCTCTGGCGGCGGCTGCTGCTGCAGGCTCTGGCGGCGGCTGCTGCTGCAGACCCTGGCGGCGGCTGCTGCTGAAGACCCTGGCGGCGGCTGCTGCAGCAGGCTCTGGCGGCGGCTGCTGCTGCAGACCCTGGCGGCGGCTGCTGCTGTAGGCCTGGCGGCGGCTGCTGCTGCAGGGCGGCGGCGGCTGCTGCTGCAGGAACTGACGGCGCCCCGCGGGTCCCGCATGGGGCGTCGCGACGAGCAGGGGCGACGCCCCGCGGGTCCCGCACGGACGTCGCGACGAGCAGGGGCGACGCCCCGCGGGTCCCGCACGGACGTCGCGACAAGTAGGGCGGCGCCGCGCGGGTCCCGCACGGACGTCGCGACGAGCAGGGGCGACGCCCCGCGGGTCCTGCACGGACGTCGCGACGAGCACGGTGACGCCGCGCGGGTCCCGCACGGGCGTCGCGACGAGCAGCGGGGAGGGCAGCGCGCAGGCCCCCCGAGGGCGCTTCGAAGGACGGGAAAACCGCCGAGCGCCCCGAGCGCACGGCAGGAAGAAGGACTGCAGCGGAAGCATAGGGGCCCACAGGCCAAGGTAGAACGGGCTCTGATAACATGTGAAAATATTAGGTGTGGGGCCTAGGCTTAGTAGCCTAGGCCCACACTAGGAGATAGGTAAGTTCGAGTGGGTTAGGTGAGAGTCGAGAAATTGGAAGGGAAGTGAAGTGACTAGCAAGAGTTGGGATACAAGTACATTGCCCTAAATTGGGTTGTACTCATTACAGAGTACCCCACTGCAGGCTAGACAGCAAATATATTCTGACAGAATGTTGGCGATCCCACCATGTGTTGCCCGCAGCAATTGTCCAGGTACCATGTGTTGATGTTCTTGCAGCTCTGTCGCGCGATGTTGGCGATTTTCGGTGTGACTACGCGGTCCTTTTCGCTGGTGTATGGCGAGAGAGCGAAGTACCAGTTCGTCGAGATGCTGGGAGGTGATTCTGGCGTCGGTGGTGGAAACTCGAAATCAGGTGGGTACCTTTGTGGGGAATCAATAGGTGACGGTGGGGTCATTGTTTTGACTGGGTGCATCAGGGTTGACGGGGTCGTCGATCGTGAATGTTACTCTATCGTAGTATCAAAAGCCTCTGTTGCGGCGAGCCATGCAGCTCATGATTATCCCTTTGCCTTTGTCCTTGGTCGTAATGCGTGCAGGTGTCTGCGAGGTGCTTGCGACGGAGGGAGGCGAGATGGTGGTTGTTGCAACGGAAGAGGTTGAAGCCGTTGAGGATTGAATGCTCGAGGGGTTATTGCGTCTTTCGTCGGCGACCTTTCGTTTGTAGCACCAATCGATAGTGTGCCCAAGCTTCTTGCAGTACTTGCAGAAAGTTCCCTTCTTTCCGTGCTGCTCCCCTTCAGTAGCTCCAACGTAGAAGACTAATTTCTCCCGCTTGGTGTTCTTTTCGTTGTACAGGTCGATCTCCTTTTGTTCGGAGGGAAGTGTGGCGCATAGGGCCGATTCGGAGATAGTTGCTCGAGCACGGAGCAGAGATTGGCATTGACGCCAGTCCGGTCCGAGGCCAGAGAGGACCATTGAGACGAACATGTCGTCTGGAACTGATCGCGCAGATTGCGGCACCGATTAATATATGGTCCTGCTTTCTCCCGTTGATGCATTTTGACCGATGTGAGCTGGCTGAGAAGGCAACTCATAGTAACTGGATCTGTTGCCATGTATGAGCTGTGCAGGTGCTCCCAGGAGGCGTACGCGGGCGCCCACTCTGATTTGTAGGAGCAAATGCCGAGCTGTTCGTCGGGGGAGAGATTTTGGAGCAGAGTGGTGTACGCGCGAAGAGATTCGTGGTAATACTGGTTCTTCTCTTGAATGGTGCCTTCCGTTGGAAATGGTAAGCTCCCGTCGTAGGACATCCAGATTTGCGCAGTTGTCGCGAGAAGCTCAAACTCAAAGCTCCAAGTGTAGAAGTCCTTTCCATCGAAAGGATCTGATGCTTTCAGCTTTGATGTCAAAACGAATTTTGTCTGCATTGTTGCAATCGTATCTGAATGTGCGCGTTGTTGACTGTCTTGCGCAGGAGTTGAAGCTTGACGGTTGTCAAACGTGAATGACCTCTCGGAGTTGACGCGGCGGTCTTATCCAGGGAGAGGAAGTCCAGCGACGCCACGTGCATAGCTTGAGCCATCAACGCTCATCGCCTGATGGCTCTCAATAGCGTTGATGCGGGCGACCAGATGCTCAACGAGAGCAGCGCTGATGGAGGTTACCGTAGATGGTGCAGTGGGTGTTGCTGATGGTGGGCCCGGGGAGTCTGCAGTGGCTTCTCTTTCTGGAGCCATAGTGATGCAGAGTCTTTAATGATGTAATGAGTAATTTATAGAGAGATTGTTCTAGCAAGAACTAGAGCTTGGCAGGCCTTATAATCCACTCTAGCTCTCATACCATGATGTTATAACTGAAGGATCGTAGTAGATAGAATAAGAATGCCAAGTGTAAAGGAGAGAACGGAAAGTCTCTGTAATGACCTTGTTGTAAAATGAAAGAGAACAAGATGATTATAAGATAGAGGTACAAGGATATAAATAGTAATACTAGATAGCCATGTATTCTGAGGGGTACATTCCCTTATAAAATGAATTTCATTGCTACAGTAACCACGACTATTGCCATTCTAGACAGTTACCATGTTGCATTTCGCAACTGCCTTGTGCGGTTACTGGGCAGTCAAGGGTCACGACCGTTGACTGTCTTCGACTGTTGACCTTCGGGTGACCCTCGACCTTCCACGTGCTCTATATGAGCTATTGCTGTACTAGTACAGGCGTTCACTTTGTTATGGAGTGACGCGAGATGGAGAACCTTCAGGAATGTTTATGATAACCTTTCGGTTATTCCAACAACAGTAAGCAAGACTATTTCCTTACAGCATCCCACCTTTAAGAATAAACTTCCTGTACTTACAAGATTCTTGCAATAACAATAATGCTGTAAATCTTATGTGTCAAAATGCGTAGTTTGTCTAGCCTGCAGTGGGGTACTCTATAGTGAGTACGGCCCCTTAGGGTTTCCTATATGTATCCACCTGCTTGGTAGTGCAACCTCCTCCTTTGCTTATTTCCTCTTGCCTAGCTAGCTAAACCCTAGCTATGGCTCCTCGTTATGCCTGCTATTGTGACATGGTAACAGAGGGATTACGCTCCTGGCCTGTGGGCTCGCCTGCTTCCGCTGTCATACTGTCTGTCGCGCGCCCCGTGGCGCGCGACTTTTCTTTTTTTCTTCCCGCCACGCGCTCGGGGCGTGTGGCGGCGGTTTTCTACCCGCCGTGCGCCCCGAGGCGCGTGGCGGTTTTCCGCTCCGTCGCGGCGCCCCGGAGGCCCGTGCGCCACCCCCTCCCGTCGCCCGTCCTGGCGCCCTCGGGGGCCCGCGCGCCACCCCCTCTCTTCGCCCCATCGCGGCACCCAAGGGGCCCGCGTGCGGCCCTTCTCCCGTCGCGCGTCGTGGCGCCTTGGGGGCCCGCGCACCTTCCCCTCCCGTTGCCCCATTGCGGCGCCCTAGGGGCCCGCGCGCGGCCCCCTCCCGTCGCCCGTCGCGGTGCCCCAAGGACCCGCGCGCGGCCCCCTTCCGTTGCTCGTCGTGGCGCCCAGGGGGCCCGCGCGTCCGCCCCTACCGTCGCCCGTCGTGGCGCCTCGGGGGATCCGCGCGCCGTCCCCCGTGCTGCTGCCCGCGCTCCTGCCCCGTGCTGCCCGTTTTAGGGTTTGGGGGTGGCGAGTGTGGGGGTGGCGGGTATGGGGGTGACGGGTGTGTGCGCCATCCCCTGCTCCTCCTCCTCCTCCGTCTCCTACTACTACAGTTGTCGCTGAGGGGGGTGGGTGTGTGGGAGCCGAAGGAGTAGTGCTAGGGGGGTGTCGTGGGAGTGAAGCTAGGGGTGCAGCAGGGAGTGTGAACGGGAGTTTTGGGACAAAGGGGGAGGTTCAAGGGGGGTGGTCATCGTGAAGCGAGCAGCTCCAGTCGCCCGTGAGACCGTTGCGCCAGCCGCCCGTGAGCCCGTCGCTCCAGTCGCCCGTGAGCCTGTTGCTCTAGTCGCCCGAGAGTCAGTTCCTCCTGCCGGTCATCTAGCCGCGGAGCCAGTTACTCCAGTTGCCCGTGTGCCAATTGCTCCAGTTGCCAGTGTGCCAGTTGCTCCAGTTGCCCGTGTGCCAGTTGCTCCAGTTGTCACAATAAAAAATTGACTAAAACCAGAAAGTACAAACAAGATATATGCAAAACCTAACCCTAGTGCAAGTACAAAATAACACAAGGGACAACACCTAGACTAGAACTACACAAGCTATAGAAATATAGTTTGACACACCCCCATAGTCTAGGTGACGGGAGTCCTGTAGAAACAACAAGAGCAAGCAGCGATCACAAGACCAATCCACAAGAATAAGACAAATCTCAGGGTGGAGCTCAAAGTCACCACACACTCCGAGAGCAAGCAAGAGGCCACAAGGCCGGTCCACATGCAGGTATATAGCAAATATATATAGATGCAAGAGTACAAGACATGCAGGACAAGGCATCTCTACGTAAGCAGGTGAGGACGGGCAGGCACAAGGCCAAGCTGGGTGCAGAAGCGCTGGTGGTCACAAGGCGGCAACGCCTTTGTGAAGATAACTGCAGTGTTGGCCTCAAAGACCACACGGACGACGCGGGCCAGGCCACGCTACTGCAACTCGCGCAGAAGGAAGTAACGAAGCTGGATGTGCTTCGCCTTCCCAACCAGTCGAGGCTCCTCACACAACAGGACGGCAGACCTGTTGTCGGCGAACAAGACTGGGGGAGAGCGAGGCCGCTCACCAAGGTCAGTGAGAAGGAAAGACAGCCAGCTGTGAGGATCTAGGATCGAGCTCAGAAAAGAGAATGTGAATTGAATTGATTGAATGATCACCTGGGTACAACACGAGGCTATATATAGGCTCGACACAAGGCCCCTAACCAGGTGTTACGCGAATGTTCTGCGGGCCGCGAAGTGTCCCGAACAGATCCTTACCGAATTCGGTAGAAGGCAATTCGATGGCAACCGAAAAGCCAGAATTCGGTGCACGCAACCTAGCTCGGTGCTATAACTATAACAAAATATAGGAAAGCACCTAGCCTAGGAAATCAAGCAATTCATGCATGCATTTAAAATCCTATGCTAGAAATAGCATGATAAAGTAAAGGCAAGCAAGCATAGCTGGCATAA